ATGGATTTGAGTGGATTTGCGCACTCGTTTTTGTCCGTGTTCACGCATATGCGTGCAGGAGGCCATTTCTGCTTCTACTACTTTTCTGTTCCTTTGTGTAAAAGATTTTGCCCTCAGAATATGTGATGTGGAGCTCGGGAGGCAAAAAATTGGCCTGCTCAATGCTGTCATCTAGAGGTGGCAGATGAAAGTCCTCTAGGGGCCTCTGAAATCACAGTTTGGAAGTAATGTGGAAACCTGTGGCGCAACACAATGACAAATGTCTCCAAATGCTACATTGTTTCATTCAGCTCAGTTTTATGACATGCGATCACATTAGGTTTTAAAGTGCGTACTAAGTGTGCACTAGATCTCATTCCACATGTACCTGTCAAATGCACCCTGGGATTTTGAGCGCGTTTCATGCATGTCCTCCTGTCGGGATGCATAAAAGCTATGTGTGAGAGAAACACTCTCTAAATATTAATATCTAAATAGTTTTAGAGAACTATTTTTTTTGTTTTGATTATCATGGCAGTGTATGTTTGTCAGGGTTTTTATTTTTACATTTTTTAAAGAATTTCAATGATTAAGTATTTTAAAATTACACACATTAATAATATTTAATAGAAAAAACCGAAGCAATATTGTAATATAGTAAGTTTGATTAATTTGATTTAACATATTTAAGCTTTTTTATGTATACAAGAGTTTCAGTGACTATATGGGTATATAAGTCATCTCATGTTAATAGTAATAATTTTAATAATTTAATACAAATATAAACTATTTTAATAGAATAGGTTTATGATTCATTTTGAATTAAAATATTTGAGTTTTATTTTTTTCATTTATAAAATAATTTTAATGATTAGGGGTATTTAAACTCATCACATTAATAATATTTTAATAATATTTAATAAAATAAATCTGAAAAATATTTAAGCTTTTTTTGTGTATAGAAGAATTTCGATGACTTTATGCATATTTAAAAATCATCACATGAATGATATTTTTAATAATGTTTAATAAAAAAATTTACAATATTTTAATAGAAACAGCTTGATTAATTTTAAATTAACATTTCTAAGCTTTTTAATTTATACAAATATTTTCACTGACTATAAAATTAATCACACAAAATAATAATTTTAAAAAGAACAAGTTTGATTAATTTCGAATGAATATATTTAAGCTTATTTTTTACTAATTCTTTCATTTTCAGAGAATTTTGATGACCGCAGTGGCATGTAAAATTTAACAGAAAATTATATTTTTAATAGAATAAATTCATAACTAATTTGTAATTTAAACTCACAAGACACTTACTCACATTTGTGTGAGTGTGCACTAGATATCATTCCACATGTACCTGTCAGATTCACCCTGGGAATGTGAGTGCATTTCATGCATGTCCCTCTGTCAGGATGATAAAGGCCGCGAGTGTGTGAGAAATGCTCTTGTACGAGTGTGTCTCTCTCATGGGTGAGATTCTGGTTGGGGGAACACTATTAGCACACATAGCAGAGTCCATTTGTGCCATTGGGAGGGAAACATTAAAATGTATGTGAGTAGAGGCCTGCTGGGATACAGAGGCTGTGTGTGTGTGTGTGTGTGTGTGTGTGTTTGTGACCTTGCTTGGCTCCCCGATCTATTGCTCTGCTCCCCGATCTATGTCCAGATCTACCTCTCTTTCTCCATCGCTCTCTCTCTCTTTTCACTATTCCCTCCGCCCTCACTATCAGCAGCCATGGTAAAATAAATAATGCATCAAAACACATTAAAAACTTTAGCTGCCAATAAAAGAGGAGGATGCGAGGGATGGGGAAAAATAAGGAGTGAGTGATCAGGTCTGAAAAAGAAGTGAACTTTATGAAGTGAGAAACCCCAGAGCTGTTGGTCTGGACCGGAGCCAGGACGCCACAGGTGTGCTGACCAGGTGCACTGTGGGTATTTTTCTGTCGTAAATGAGTCACTGTGAGTCCAGTAAAATATGCAGTTGGAAGATGACTTTAATAAACATAATTAGTGGTTTATTGGCATTGCAGGGTATTTAATTAGTTTATCGTTATTATGCATAAACAAGGACGAGCACAGAAATGCACACGCAAACTTTTATACTCTCGTTCAGAGGTTTGTTATAATGAAGTCATTTAAAGAAAATACTTTATTCAGCAAGGCCACATTAAATTGATTAGAAGTGACAGTAAAGACATTTATGATGTTACAAAATATTTCTATTTCTAATAAATGCTGTTCTTCTGAACTTTCTATTCATCAAAGAATCCTGAAAAAAGGCATAACTTTTTTCCACAAAAATATAGCAGCATAACTCTTTTCAACATGAATGATAAGAAATGTTTCTTAAGCAGCAATTAGAATGATATCTGAAGGATCATGTGACCATGAAGACTGGACTAATGATACTAATAAAATTCAACTTTGCATCACAGAAATAAATTACATTCTAAAATATATTCAAATAGAAAACTGTTCTTTTAAATGGTAATCATATTTACTGTTTTTGTTGTATTTTTGATCAAACAAATTCAGACTCGGTGAGCATAAAATGCTTCTTCTAAAACATTAATAAAATCTTACTGACCCCAAACTTTTGTACAATAGTGCAAGTTTTCAATAAAACATTCTTTTATGAAGCATTAAACATTAAAACATATGTAGCAGTTTATTATTGCCATTGTATTACTGTAATCAGTTGTTTAATATTTTAAGTTATTTTTCTGCTTATTGTTACCGAATGTTGGCATTTAATCATGTAGAGTAACATATTTATTAACTTAGCAGATGCTACATTTTGTCCAAATTGAATAAAAAATGAGTGGAAAATACAATAAAGGATTTACTGTATTGTAAGATTTTATTGAAAACTGCTGTAAAGAACATTAACTGCATTTTTATGTCACTTTCTGTTGAATAATGAAAAACTTATTGCGTAGTATTTTCATGACTCTCATCAAAGATGAAAAACTGCATTCCTTATTTGAAAATTAAATTAGGATTTCTTAACTGAAAAGTAATTCAATGTTGCAAAGACATTATGTACTTAAACTACAAATAAAATAATTGTATGTGGTCACATGGCTAGGCAGAAATGTTCCTTTTTTATTAAACCAAACATATATATCTGGAGCCAAGGAACATTTGACTTGATTGGATTTGATAAATTTGACTTGTACTGTAGGCTACCATACGCTGCTATTATGCTTCCCCTGTTTTGGGCTTTTAGCAGAAGAAGAGACTTTCTCCTCAAGGACTTTTTCTGTTTGTACAATGCAGACAGTGAGAGGGAGTGTAGAAGCTGCTCATAAAAACATACCTGCTACGTCACAACTCATTTCCAGGAGTAAACTGCTGTGGATGAGCGATAGAGAAGTGGAGTTTGTGTCTTATTTTCGGGGGCAGTGCCCTGAGCGATTGTCTGTAAGGCCACTGCGCACGGGTTCGTTCCCCTCCTCTCGTCTCCTTCCTGCTGGCAGCGTGACAATTGGCATTATTAAAAATTGATTGCCGCAGACCGTTCCGTGGCTTACATGTATTATTGAGCCGGAGTCAGTCGGGAATGTGCCACGAGTGAAGGAAGTAGAACGAAACACTTTATGATGGTGAGCGTCTTTTAGTGAGACCTCACACACAAGTGCCATTCATACACATAAACAGAGATGTATGCAAATGTGTAGCATGCTTTGACTTGCATTTCTTTTAATAATGCTTTGTGTGTCTGATGTTTACTCTGGTGTGTTGTACAACTGTAAATTAGTCATTCTAAGAAACATTTGCCTTTTCCTTTTTTTCTTCTGCATTATCCGATAAGACAAAAATATTTTTAAGTGTTAATAATCTCAAGTTAATAATATGGTGATATATTCTGTGTTGGGGTGGAACATTTCACACCACAATTGCTGCAGCTCACCTGTTATGGTGATGGTATAAGGTTATGGCTTTCTATTTATTTAGGTATTCAAATGATTTTTCTATAAATAGAAAGGGGAAAAAAGCAAATTTCATGTGCCAGGGTGGATATGTTATGCTTGAGAAATTGTGTCAAGCATGACAGAACAACAATTTATGAATATTAAATGAGATGAGAAGTCTCCAAGTTTGAACTTGGCTCCTCAAAACTCACATGATGTCACTTCCTCTTCATTATGTCATTTAAATTTTTTTTTTTTTTTCGAGGCAAATGATGGTGTGACGGGGAAAATCTAAATTCATAGAGAGAAGTATTCTTGCTGAAATCAATTTAAATATTAATCTAATTTCAAGATATGAATCATTAATTATTAGAAAACTATTTTTAATATAAATTTGATTATTTTGGTTTTCCAGGCAATGTATATTTCTTGTTTTCTTTTTTTTTTTCTTCTTTTTTTACATTTTGACTATGGGTATGTAAAATTATAAAATGAAACATATTTAAGCTTTTTTTATTTTTACAAGAATATGATGACTTGGCATGCAACAATCAACACATAAAATAATATTTTTAATAGAATAAGTTTATCATTGCATTTGAATAATTTAATTGATAAAAGATTTTGATGAATGGGCATGTAAAAAAATCATTATGATTATTTTTGAATAAACATATTTAAGCTTATTCTTTTTATTATACTTTTTTTTAAAGAATTAAGAAAATAATATTTTTAATAGAATAAGTTTAATTCATTTTGAATTACGTACAGTAAACAATCTTTATTTTTAAATTTTTTATTTAAATTTCAATAACTGTATGACATGAAATAATACTTTGCAAAGAATAATTTTATAATTTTGAATTAACATATTCAAGATATTTGTGGGCATTTCATCAAACATTATGGGCACAAATAGTACTGGAATGGCTCATATACCACCGTATTGATACACACTGTAAATGTGAACACTTCACTTTTTATAGTTTTTGTGCTCAGCTACAAATCTAATGTCTTGTCTTTCCCCCACCTTCTTTCTGTCTGTCCTGACTTTTCCCCTCCCTCGGTTCTTCTCTCTCTGTTACACAGATGAACAGGCCAATCCAGGTGAAGCCAGCTGACAGTGAGAGCAGGGGAGGTAGATTTCCACTTCTCTTTTGTTCTTCTTCCTTTCCTATTTCTCCCCCCACCTTCCTGTCGCTCTAAATCAGTGTCACCATTGCCGGTAGATGTCCCCTTCTTAAGTGTCATAGATAATGACGCACTTCGATGAGACCCGACAGTCATGCAGGGCCCCAGAGGATCTTGGGCCGGCCCTCACACGCCTTACATAAGTGTGGGTCACTCTTTTTGTCTGATTATTACCCTCCACTGATGTGCTGGGAGAGCTACTTTTTTTTGTTCTAGTTGTAATGCGCGCGCGCGCACACACACACACACACTTTTGTGAGTTTTTGTATGGATGCTGTAGGAAAGAGTATAGTATAGTAAATTTAAGGATTCTTAAAAGTGTAAATGGGAAAACAAATATGTAATTTATTATATTTAGTGTTAGTATTTTATTTATGGCTTCTCAAAATTCAAATGTCACTTTTCATTATGTCATTTAAAATGAATTATTTTGAGGCAAATGGTGGTGTGACAGGGAAACACAAATTTATGGACAGAAGAATTATCGTTGTTAAAATTAAATTTAAATTTAAAGAAAACTATTTTTAATATAAATGTTGTTATTTGCATATTTTGATTATCTATCAAAGCTTATTTCCGCCATTGGGATAAACTATTAAAAACATAATTGCAAGTTTTTATCTCAATTCTGACTTTTTTCTTTTTTTTTTGTCTCCACCACTACGTTAAAAAATACAAATTGTAATTGCGATTATCTCAGTTTAGATTTCGCAATTATGTTTTTTTGTTTCCACCACTACAATAAAAAAATAACAATTTTAATTGTAATAAAAAATGTATCTCCCTGTTCTTACTTTTTCTCTCACAAATGTTTATATCCCACAATTCTGATTTATGTCTCATAATTCTTAATTTTTCTCAGAATTGTATAAACAGATTTAAACTTTTTGCAAAGAAAAAAGTCTGAATTGTGAGATTAAAAAATCGCAATTACCATTTTTTTTATTTATTTTTTTCCTATGGCTGAAACAAGCTTCCATAATTATAATTTTATTTTATTTTATATTTTTTAAGAATTTCAGGGACTATGAAGATGTAAAAATCGTCATATGAAATAATATTTTGAATAGAACGCTTTATTAATAGAATAGATCTGTCTATTTATTTATTTGTTTATTCATTCATTTCTTCATATCTGCTTATTGGTTCTAGGTAGCATTAAAAATCACTGAAAAAATGAAGCCAGATGCTTTGAAGACCCAGAATATAGATGCTGGTTTTGGAGAACATATAAAGAAACATCAAAAGGTTCTCCAATGACTTCTTAAGAACATAAAAAGTACCCATTATGACATCATAAGAACTTAAAGACCTTAAAAAGTGGCCTTCTATGACATCATAACTTTAAAGGGTTCCCTTATTACATCATAAAAACTTAAAAAGTCCTTTATGTCTTTATAAGAACAAAAATATTATCTTGTGGCATCTTAGGAAGTTCTCTTATGAGATTTAAAAAAAACAACTTTTTTCTTCTGTGACATCATAAGAACATAAAAATTATGTCATATTAGCCTAATATACTTATTTGTAAGTGTGTCTGTGTCTGTGTGTGTGTGTGTTCATGGGAGTGAGATTGACTTTGCATGTGTGTGTCTGTGTGTCACTAACAGACAAAGTGGAAGCAGTTTGGTGAGATATAGCTCGTCTTTCCCACCTTTTTGGGTCAGATTTTCCAGATAACCAAGATTGATGGACCCACAGAGAGAGCGAGACATACACATAGAAGAGTCTCTCTCTCTCCTTCACAGTCTCTACCTTCATTTCATGCCATACGTTCCTTCCTCTAATTGAGAGCGTCTTCCTTTACTCACACTTGACAGATCAGTTGTCTTCGTCGTGATGGACAGCTGAATTTATCCCCGTTAGCCCTGTAAAAACGCAATATATGTCCCTGCAAAGCCCTCTGATTCCACTGGCAAAACCGATGTGCCGTCCCCGACCGATCCATTCACTAGTCATTTAAAGTGAAACGCCAGGATGGAGAGAGAGATCTAAAGGTCAAAGTGGGAAAGACAAGGAAAGGAAGTGAGAGACGCAAGGACAGAAAGAGACTTGAAGGAGAGTTAGAGAGAAGACAAGGAGGTGGGGGCTGGTCATAAGAGACAAACAAGGATGGATATCAGAGAGAATGAGAGGAAACAGTTGGAGACACGGGTTACATACAACTAAATGAAAGACTTGTTGTTCTAAACAAAATAACTTTTTCTGTCACACTTTTATCAGGAAATGTGCACAGTGGGATCTACATGTAGGACATGTTTATAGATCAGTGACCCTTGCTGTTCCTGGAACAACAATCCTGTCAACCAATCAGAGGCCTTAACCAAACCCTGAAAAAAATCCTCAAGCCCTTAATTCAGTGGACAACAGCTGGTTGATTGGAATGCTGTTCCTGGAACAATGTCATGTCATTTTCAAGGTTTAAAATGATTTACATATAAATTATTGGCAAGTTTTGTGAATCAGACTGCTGGATTTATTTATAGCCCAAAGGGAAGGACTCAATTTGTTTTATTTAAATGATTTTTTAAAAATAATTTACTTTAAATCAAATTCAGCTTGTAGTTCATATCTTCATATTCACTCCCTCTCATTTGACATTCCTAATTAAAAATCTATTTTTGTTTATTATTGTTGTATTTTAATTTATCCAAAACTGTGTAAAATTTTATTTTATAAAATAAAATGTATTATTTATTTATTTTATCTATGAAAGTATAGTTTTAATTTATTAAATTTGACATTTGTAAACAATTTTCACTCCATCTCATTTTGACATTTCTATTTGTAAAAAGTAATTTGTTTGTTTGTTTATTCATACTTTTGATTTACCTTAAATCAAATCAAATTCAGCTTGTAGTTCATGGGCCTCATTTATAAAATGTTGCACAGAAACCATCCTAAATTTAACCGTACGATCATCTCTCAAATATGCATACATGTGATTCATAGAATGAACGTACGCACAGTAAACGCACGTACGCGTGTCTCTTTCAGATGTGAAATCTATGAATCGAAAATTATCTTGAACTTGCGTGCAACTGAATGGTTTCAGCTCTTTGCCTTGTAAACGACTCCTAATTAATGGCATTAACATATAAAAGATCACCAGTCATCGTTTAAATCCTTTAATTTAGAGCAGTGAGCTGCAAGAACAGCTTACATTTTCAAAAACCTGCAGTACTCTGACAAGAAAAAGTATGCACGTCTGCTCAGGCCTGCGTCTAGCATCTGACGTGATGCTAAGGACTTTTCCACATCAAAAGCAGTTTTTACAAACATGAGCGTTGGTGTGGATTTAAGCGTACGCACACTCTAAGATCAAATCTGAGCATACGCACGCTTTATAAATGAGGCCCAATGTCTTTACATTGACTGCCTCAGACATGCTGTTTGAATTTTAGCTATCTTCGGTGGCATTACTGTTACCTGTGTCGTGTGTGCGTGTCTTATCCCGCATATGTGCAGCGCACTTGTAAACATTCCCCACAGAGAGAGGCCGGACTAGAGATTAGTCTTGTTGACTGGGCAAGGACACCCTGTCAGAGCATGTGAGTGAGCGGCAGGCCTGGACAAACACATGAACACACATACTCCTACACAATAGTGCTCATTAATATCTCTGCTGCATCATCCATCATACACACACACATTGTACATTACACATACACAAGTTTACCTGCGCAAACTGACCGGCATTATCAAACAGAATGTTCAGTTGCTTAAAGCGCGTTTTCCTATAACAAAGTCTTGTAATAATTATAATTACATTATTATATTTATAGTCTTTATTAAAAAACAATAGGTGTCTAGGGTATGTCACCATTTAGATGGTAAGATAAATGTGTGTGTGCATGTTTACACACTGTCATATCCAGTCCAATTCCCTCGGCGCCCTATAAATATGTGCCTTGTTTTTTAACTCTGTGCCTTGTCTTGAGTTTAAAACATGCCGCATTGACACTGCAATTACAGCCTAATAAAACCCTGAAACAATACCGCTTTTGTTCCCCCTAACGCTGATGTGTAATTCAATAATGTCTACATAATCTGATAAATAAAGGCACAAACAATAAACAAGGACTCCTGAGGTGGCAGAATCGACTAGGCGAAAGGTTCTCCACAGATATCTCGCTCATTAACTCATTTCATTATACAGTTGCACCGACAGGCTTTTTTAGTGCTTTTCTGGATTTAGACACAGATAATTGTATATTAGGTGGATAAAAAGCATGCATTGTGAGATTGATTGAGTGAATGTGTTTTTGAAAGTTTGCACTGTAGTAATGGTGACTTTTAATTGCATTTTGTTTGCATTTTACAGTACTCACCGACCGCATGCTTGTTTGAGTATTATTATGGGATTCAGTCGTCTTTAATAATAAAACACTTCATTTTTGAAAATAGTGAGGAAAATGCAAACAGCATATAAAATATAGTAAACAGAGAAAAAAGAGGCGGTGTGGATGTATTGAAATGAGCAGTAACACAAGACAGCAGACAGATGTTGTTGTTGTCCTGTGTAGTCTGTAACAACTTCTCGGTGTTTGTTTCAGAAGACAGAAAACTCTTCGTTGGCATGCTGAATAAGCAGCAATGTGAGGACGACGTGCGGCGCCTTTTTGAGTCCTTCGGGAGCATTGAGGAGTGCACCATCCTCAGAGGTCCTGACGGAAACAGCAAAGGTTATTGGCTTCAGTCTGATTTTCTAAAATGATTGAAGTTTATTCTTTAAGTCTGTATGTTAATATTCATTATATTATATTATATTTATGTTTCTAAAGGTGCACGGTTACATGAATTTTATTTATTTAGTCAAATGGGATAATATGCCCCTTCAGAAATGTGGAAATGTTTCTTATTATACTAAGGAAATTGTTTATTATACATAATATAATATATATTATAAAAAAATCATTTGTGGAGTTCAAAGAACATGGCTTCTTGTCCCAGGAGCCAGTTAGAGGGTCATCTCACCTGTTTTCTCTCAGCATTTTCTTTCTTTAATTTTGCTGAAACTCTAAAATATACGATATGGATGCCTAGAAATGTCTGTAAATGTCAAAGAGGGTGTTTTTGACAGTTTTTTTTTATTTCTTCAGGTTGTGCATTTGTGAAGTATTCCACTCATGCAGAAGCTCAGGCCGCTATTAGTGCTTTACACGGCAGCCAAACCATGCCTGTGAGTGCCAGCACATGTGATCATGCATTTTTGTATCATTAGCACAAAGGATCCTCATTTTGTGTGTGTGTGTGTGCGTGTGTTTCAGGGCGCTTCTTCCAGCCTGGTGGTGAAGTTTGCAGACACAGATAAGGAACGGACCATTCGACGCATGCAGCAGATGGCCGGTCAGATGGGCATCTTCAATCCGATGGCCCTGCAGTTTGGAGCGTATGGTGCCTATGCACAGGCAAGAGCTCTCTCTCTCATTACACACTATTCCCAACAAAACTGCAGCGTCTCAGTGGAAAAATCTGTCGACTCTAAAGTCTTGATTATACACAGTGCTCCATGCATTATGTGATTATGTTATCTTGGCATGGTATTATATGTATGTATTTGAAGTGGTGTGTGTGTGTGTGTGTGTGTGTGTGTGTGCTTTTGGCTGTCAGGTTCAGCAGCAGGCAGCGCTGATGGCGGCTTTTGCTGCCGCACAGATGCAACACATGGCCACCATCAACGGCCTCCCAGGGGCTCCCATGACCCCAACATCAGGTGAGGAAACACACACAAACATGCCGACATTCCCAGACTGTATGGGGTTCAGCTTTAAAGTCTTTTAATTATTCATGGCTATCATTTTTGCTTCCCCCCCCCCCCTTAGTCATAGGAAATAGTTTGACAGTGTACGGCCATCTGTATGATTACCCTGTATGACCATCAGCCATGACATAGTCTCTGAAAAATGGTTGCAGGAATCTCATTTTTCATGGTATCTTCTTCAGATTTGAAATATAAACTCATGAGACATGTGACTTTCAACCCATTACTTTTCTGGATTGCTCCAGGACTGATTTCATGTATTTTTATATGAAGGCACTTCACTATGTATAATTTTTTATCTTTTTGAGTATTATCAACTCTGGAAGCCCAAAGGGTCTTCTTTCCAAAGACACCAAAATTGTGTGTGTAGCACACTGAAGTCAGGAACTGTTACAATTTTAAGTTAGGTAGGTCATTTTCAGCTGCGAGTCCCAAAATGGGGGGTGCAGGTTAACAGGTTAATAGGATAGGTGCATACTTAGTTATTTAACAGGCTTCTAAACAATAACTAATTAAGATGTATGAATATAAAAATAAATAAGCAATTCATTATTAATAATTATTAATAAAATTAACACAAAAAAATTGGTAACACTTTACAATAAGTTTTCATTTGTTAACATTAGCTAACTACATTAGCTAAGAGTGATACTTAAAATACATCATTTTAAAATTAAAAGTTGTATCTGTCATTATTTAATTGAACTGAGCTGACATGAACTAATAATGAACACTTGTATATTTAATAACTATTAATGTTATCAAAGATTAATAAATACTGTAACAAATGTATTGCTCAATGTTAGTTAAGGTTATTTAGGGCATTAACTAATGAGACCTTATTGTAAAGTGTTATCAAATATTTTGATAACTTTTAATATATGCTCTGATTTATGCTCTAACCCCTTCAGTCACTGCGTTTTTGACCTAGTTTTTTGTTTAAACCAATACAATTGTATTTTTCTACAATATGAGTAGGTCAATGGTCAACTGGTCAATGATTGGTCCCATGAAGATTTGATCCCTAAATTATTCTGATTGAGCTCAGGCTTCAGAAAGGCGTTTTTTCTAATCAGAGGAATTAAAATGGTAAATGTAAGATGTAAATGTAAGTAGTTTTTTTTGTTTTTTTTGTTTGTTTGTTTTGTTTTTAATTCTTCCAAAAAATTAAAAATGTAAAATGCAAAAGCCAATTTAGAAAAAAGTTAAAGTAAAAATAATTAAGGTGTGTTTAACGCATTGTTTTTCACTAAAGAATGATGTGTTAATTCTTTTTAATTTTAATATATAAAAAAAAAAAAAAACTCTATGCCCAGCAAATCCATTAGGTAATATGCTCTCTTCTCCTTGGCCCCGCCCCCAGGTGGAAGCACGCCCCCTGGCATCACGGCTCCCACGGTGACCAGCATTTCATCTCCAATTAGTGTCAATGGTTTCACAGGGCTGCCGCCTCCTCAGGCCAATGGCCAGGCCCCAGCGGAGGCCATGTTTACCAATGGAATCCATCCTTACCCAGGTACTACATGCTATCATTCACAGATACACAGCAGAAATATGGCAGATTTTAACCTTAAATTCTATTTAAAAACTCACAACTTTATGGTTACTTTTTCCAACAGTAATATACAGGACTAATAATAAACAGTAAGATTTTAATGTCGTCATCCTATTTTGACAATTAATGTCAGCATTTCTTGCAGTATAATAAAAGTTGATGTATGTACATAAAGCAGTTTATATTGTGCACTGTTTACTTATGTGTTTAGAAATATAAGTCAGCAGTCTTTTATTAAACACTCAGGCATGTGATTAAACATGTTTCTGGAAGTTTCCGCGGTTGGAAATGCCAGTGGTCGGCTGTTAGCTGTCAAAGTGTGAGTCTGTGTGTGTTATGGAGTGGTTTTCATATCCAGTGCCACAAAGAAAAGCAAATGCCTGTATCCCAGTTTTGCAGGAAGTGGTGTTTAGGGAAGACTCGGAGAAGGGCGGCCTGGGCGTGGCCCAGAGAAGTTGTTTTGGGGTTCAGGGAAGCTGCTTCCTGTCGTCTCTCTCAGAAGGTATAGAACTCCCTCAGACGTTAGTGTCGTGCAGTGTTGTTTTACTGTGTGTGTCTGGTGTGTGTGTGTGTGTATACGCTATACAGTAGACGGAGTGAAAGACATGCGAGTAGTTTCTTTATGTTTGTTTGTTTGGTGTCGTCAGCTTTGTAGAGTGATGTTGTTGTTGTAGTGTGGCTATAGTTATATGTGCATGCATTGTATTTGGCAGACGCTTTCATTTAAAGCTCAAGGGCAAGAGGTGATGCTCACACCTTCCGGAGTTCAATCCTACAGGCTTTTGGTTAGCAGCCCTGCACTTTACAGTATCCATTAGGATACACAACAACCATCGAGTCAAGTCACGTTTATACAATACAGATTGTGTCAAAGCTTCACAGTAATAAAAAGGAAAAAAGGTGCTGTCATTGCAGAATTGATCAATTATGAAACAAAGACAATTTTTGCTATAAGCAGCTCTACAGAAGACAATAGTGTTCAACTCAAGTCAGTTCAGTATTGATTCAGTTCAGTTTAATAACAGTGTCAATTTTGCAAAGTTCAAAATTGAATACATTTATAAGCAGGTCTACAGTAGGCGACATTGCCATTATTCAGCTCAGTTTAAAATTTCTTCTCATCCAACAAATAATGAAACTTTATTTTGATTATATGTAATATATATGCTCTAAATTGCTACATTAGATTTTTTTCGCAGATTTTTGGAGAAAATTATAAATACAATAAAATTGGAGAATTAAAAATACAAGTCTTGCTTACATTGAAATGTAAAAATAATTAATGCATGTTTTGTGTACTGTTTTTCACTAAATGAAGTATGACATTTAAAAAGTTTTTATTTATATTCACTAATATATTACAATACATATAATTATGTTTATTATTTATTTACCTACATATATTTCTGGTGAAATAATTTTTTTAAATCTCTTTCCTGCAAAAGCATTGGACCAACTCTCATTGAACTGTTCCCTTTAAAGGGACAATTTACCCAAAAAATTAAATTTTATCATTTACTGAACCTCATATCAATATGCAAAATAGTGTAACATCTATATAACATATTAGAAATTATTTTATAATTTTAACTATATTATCTATGTACAAAAAGATCTGCCTAACAAGACAAACACTGCAACATTACATTAATATTAATACTGAAGTTCTCTGATGTCATTTTCACGATCAATACATTTGATAACTAAAATTATGGCACTAATTACATTTATATAAAACGAGAGCACAAGTCCACAATGTAATACGAGATATATGAAAGTTGCATTGCTCTTAGTTCCCCTGGTAAGCTGTCTAATATAGCATTGCCATGGATGACAACAAATATTAGGAAATATCTGACATATGAATGCCGTGATTGACCAAGTATTGCAGAAAGCCAGTGTAATTTTCAGTGTAATTCACTGAAAATCTAGGTCATCTTCATTTTTTTATGTGCATACAGGTTTGGAATAACATGAGGGTGAGTAAATGATGACAGGATGTTTATATTTGGCTGAATTCTCCCAGCTTTTAAGTGAAATGTTACTCGATAGGCCACACACACCCAATCCTGAGTGTGGATGCTGCAGTGTTTACCGTGTCAGTGTTTTAACAGCGTTAAGTTACCAGGCTGCGAGTATGTGTATCGGTGTTTAGAACAGAGCGTTGCGGGCTGGACCTGAATTGCCTTTATTACTGTGAAAGCTCTCAGCTGATTGATGTGCCGTGTAGTGCCGTAGATCTATATTGTTCTCCGTACACTCTCCGGCTGTCTTTCCAACTCTCGGGCAGCGGGGAAGCTTGGCAGGGCCCTGTGCGAGCGCCACGGCTTAATTGTTTGGGGGTGAACGGTGAGGGGGAGGGAAGTGAGGTAAGCTCATTCCCGGCGCACAGCTCTGCCCGAACACACTCAAACGCACTCAGTGACCCCAACTGTGTCTGGAACGCTCTCGTCTCTCTCTTTCCGCAGCTCAGAGTCCCACTGCAGCAGACCCCCTACAGCAGGCCTATGCTGGAGTCCAACAATATGCAGGTCTGTCACTCAAAAGGAGGCTGTTTGTGATTTTCCTGCTTCCGAGTTAATAAAAAGTGCATGTGCTGTCTACGTGTGCTGGAATAAGAGGTGTGAAGTGTGTGTGTGTTATCTGACACATTGGCGCGTGTGTGTGTCTCAGCAGCCTTCCCCGCTGCATATGGACAGATCAGCCAGGCCTTTCCCCAGCCGCCTCCCATCATCCCTCAGCAACAGAGAGAAGGTGAGTCTGTCGCCTCCAGATATGTCACCTGTAAGAGTGAAGGATTCAGCGTGGTCACTCTGTGTGACATTTTCCATAATTGTCTTTTCATTGATGTCCTATAAAAAGTGAGATTTTATATATCGATTGTGCTGTATGCAGCAGTCATGCTGCCGTTCAAAAGTTAATGGTCAGTAAGATTTAGAAAGGACGCATTAAATTAATCATAAGTGACAGTAAAGACATTTACAATGTTACAAAAGATTTCTGTTCTTTTGAACTTTATATGCAAAGTAAAAAAAAATTTTAAACTGTAATGAAAACTGTTTTCATTAATAATAACATTCATAAGAATAATACATGTTTCTTAAGCAGCAAATTAACATAGAATGATTTCTGAAGGATCATGTGACTCTGAAAACGAGTAATTGCTGCTGAAAATTCAGCTTTTCATCACAGGAATTAATTACATTTTTAAAATTGATTCAAATAGACACCCGTTATTATACCCGTAACTCTAATAATATTTCACAATATTACTGTTTTACAGTATTTTTGATTCAAATAAATGCAGCCTTGGTGAGCATGAGAAAACATTAAAAAAATCTTACAGACCCCAAACTTTTGAACATTAGTGTACGTTCCAAGTAGTAATTTTAAATAATGAAGTTATAATTTTTTTTTCAACAGCTATTGATTACCACAGACAATAATTTGGATCTGATATTAAATAGACTTATAATGAAAGCAGTAAAGAGTTCAACAAACCCTTACAAGATTGACGGCCTCAACCTGTCTCAACAGATATTAAGTAAAATTTGGTGTTCTTGGTTGACTTTGTAAAACATTAAACGCAAGATTGTGGGTTCGTCTCCCTCCAGTGGCTGCTATTATAAACTATACTGAAATATCACCAACAAACCATCATAGTCACGATTTGATGTTCCAGGTGAAAGTTACTGTACTCTTGCTTTACAAAAAGAAAGACGACTGCTATGCAAATGTCAGCACCCCATGTGCATGATTAGTTAACTGAGGAATGCAGATATAGAGAAGGTTTCCCTTTTGTGGTTCTCAAGATCTGTTATGCATTAATGTTGGGTAATGTTAAAGTTATTAGAAATTGATGTACAAAGGTTCTATTTGAGTAATGGACAAAACCAGTTAAAATGTATTCAGTATATAATGTATTGATACTGTAGTTGTTGGTTTCTAAAGCTTGAGAAATTATGCATATAAAAGTAAATAAAAAAAATATACTACAATAATATACTACAAACAGCATACAAAATAAATACAATGCCAATGACATTGTATTTGCATTGCTAGTATCTAAGCTGCAGTCATTCCCATTGGATTGTGGTCTGTGGTGCATGATGGGCCTTATATATGTCCCAAGAAATAAAAAAAATTAAAAAACTTTGCAATCAGAGTAAGTGCCGTGATTTGATGAAAAAGCTCAAGGTCATTCAGCAGAGGAGATCATAATGACCATGATCCGTGAACTATAATCATTTGGATCAAGAAGTTTGTCCTTTCTCCGTATTGAAACGTGAAGCATTCCAAATCTCCAATAACCTTTTGTAAACGGGTTTCTCCTATACAGCACTTTTTGGTCATTTTCCTCTCAGTTTGAAGGAAGCGCTAATCTAAAACAACTCTTTTCAGGAGTGCCTGAAGAACCGGGAAGTGTCACCGCTGAGTATTTATTTGTACGGTTATTTCATCTATACAACTTAAGGAGAGAATTGCTACTTTCAGATGCCAGGGCAACTGCTCAATAAAGAGAAACTGTTTCTATAGTTTCTACTTTGGCAAGCCAAGTCTAATTTTGCCATTTGTGTCTTTGTTTTGCCCTCCATCTGTCTTTATTCCTCTCATTTCCACCTATTCTTTCTGTGCTATCTGCTCTCTTTCGCTCCTGTCTAACCGCCTCTCTAATCCTCTGTATCCCACAATCCTTCTTGTCTTTCTCTCTCTTTCTCTGTCTCCAGGGCCAGAGGGCTGTAACCTGTTTATTTATCACCTCCCTCAGGAGTTTGGGGACGGCGAGCTGATGCAGATGTTCCTGCCTTTCGGTAATGTCATCTCCTCCAAAGTGTTTGTGGATCGGGCGACAAACCAAAGTAAATGCTTTGGTGGGTAAAAATGATAAGACACCTGTGAAGATTATTCTCATTCCTACTCACACTATTAACATTTTTACCTCATTTCTCTACCACAGCGAAGCTTTCAATTGAAGCCGGGTGTGCACTGTGTGGATTTTGCTACGATCCGTTCGTCGGGCTAAATGGAGTTTTAGATCACTTAGTATAACATGTTTATCAATAAGCAACTTTTACAATGAATCGTAGCTTCTTAAGTTTTCCAGTGTCTGAAATTTTAACGGAAGCAATGGATTTGAGCTTGTGCCAATTAAATATCTTCATTGTAACCAGACTATCAAAATGATTAAAAGTGGCAAATCCATTTGTGCAGTTTGGGGTTTTTCATTTTGGATTTATGTTATTACTTCGGATTCGTGTGAAAATGCCAAAGTCAGAACAAACCCTGGTGACATGGTCAAAATCGTAGATAATATGCATATTTTACACCTAAAATGTTGTTTCATCATCCAGTCTGAGAAGCAACAGGACAGGAAAAAAAATCACACAGTGTTCACCTGGCTTGAGACAGGAAAAAAGAATGAATGGAAATTTAAAGGTAAAAAAGAAGAGGATGTAGTGTAGCATCTTCATGTCTTTAATCAGCGAGGGACATGAGGCTGTAGGGGGAAACCGCAGAAGCGTGTTCACGTGTCCTGCTCGTGACTAACGTGAACCTCTATATTTTAATTAGCGCTATCTGCAGCTTCACTGGCTCCTTGACTTATCAGAGGCATCCCATGCATGAACAAACACAACGCTATTCGATTTCAACTTAATATAAATGCAGTTAGCGGGAGGTGTTTCAGAGACTCAGACTTGATGATTTAAAATGCTGAGCTAGCTGAAATGTTCACAATACCTCAAGACAGAACAACCGAGAGTGAGAAAATAGATGAGAAAATGAGAGCAAATAATTTGCGTTGAAATGTTCATGTGTTAAATGGCAGAATTTGGTTGTCATTGCTAAGACTTCAAGAACAGATTGAAGATGATTTACACCATACACTTTGTTTACCAGAATAACTACAAAACTATATAAATTGTAAACAATAATAAATAATGCATTTTTGTTGTAATTCAGGCTACCTTTTTAATGAAGTAGCTACACTACAAATTACAAACAAACCCCCATAAAATCAAAATGACAGTTTTATGGCTTTTAGTCCATGTTTGAGCCGTTTTGGGGCGGAAGTAACGAACTGCAAGCTTTGAATGCTTATATCTTCTAACTGCGAATTGTGTCACTGTTTTGGAGCACACTGCCTTATAGATAACCTTAAGACTAACATATTGATACTAACATCCAAAAAATTGTCATTTTCATCCATTTCATTTTGATTTCATGGGGACTTTAAATAGGAAATACATCAACAATTTCATGTGGTTATTAAAAACCAGCTTACGATTGGGAAAACTATGCTGTTTCAGTAGTGACATTATTTGTAGCTCATATATTAAATTAATGATATAATTGTTAATAATAATAAAAAATTGCTGTAAATAATTAACATTATTGATCATTTTAAAAAGTATTTTTCAACTTTAGTACCAGCAGCAGAGACATTTTGAAAAACTATACTAATTTGACAACAGCTAAACTATTTTTATTCTACTAAAAATGTAGTTAGATTAGTAGTCTCGCTATTTGTACTTCCCAGTGCAGTTGCTCGCATAGTAGAAATTATGAGACATTACACTATCTGAACATTAGCAGGTTAATTATTTGCAATTTTCTGTACTCTGCACGTCATTAAAAAGGCGATCTGGCTAACTGCCTCTCGCTAATGCTAGGAGCGACTGGATATTGTGTATTAGGTTGTGCATGTTCTCTGTGCTTCTGATTATTGTGTATAAAATGTATGCTGTTGTACTGTATTGATTGACTTTGTGCATATATGTTGGATGTTAAACATGTGGTAAATATGTGTCACGATGACTTAAGTAAACTTGATTGATACCCTCCCTTCATTTCACGCTCACCTCATTCTTTGTCATAAAATCATTTCTGGCCTCATTTCTCACCTAACCCCCACCCCCCCCAACTCCACCTTCCCACAATCCTATCTAACGTCCATCTGTCCATCGCATTACCTTCTCATCCATCTGGTGCTAACCTGTCGTCCTCTCTCTGTCTCCATCTTTCTCCCTTCGTTCTCCAGGCTTTGTGAGCTTTGATAACCCAGGCAGCGCTCAGGCCGCCATCCAGTCCATGAACGGCTTTCAGATCGGCATGAAGAGACTCAAAGTGCAGCTGAAGAGGCCAAAGGATGCCAACCGCCCATATTAGCCCCGTCCCTCCCCCCAGCCACCCCTGACCCTGGGGGTGAAGGCCGCCGCTGCACACAGGGAACGATAGGTTAGCCAAATCACCTTGGAGCCAAAAGACACAAAGATACACACATACTGACACATCTCTAGTCTGGGGCAGGGCTGTGACGGAAGGAGAAAGATTAGTCGTTTCCATGTATCTCAGATCATCTCACATCTCCTCATCTAAATGAAGATGGAAAATCAATGCTGTGTCATTAATTTACCCTGCTGATGCCTTTTAACTGGGCCAGGCTATTATCTACTTGCACAGCTAGTGAGGCATCTCACACAGTACGGCTCCTGCACATCTCAGCACTGACCACATACATTAAACCCTTTTCCAGATACACTGCAAAAATCATTTTGCTTATTTCTGTCGTTTTACAGCAAAATAGCTAAACATCATTATAACAATATAAAGAATCAAAACGTCAGACAATGTCTAAATGTAAGACTTAAGATTTTTTTTATTATTAAAATATATATGAAGAGTTTATGTTTGAGATTAATTGGAATGCACAATGCAAAAAACATGATTTTTGAAAATTGTTAAAAACTGAGCTCTCTGCTTTCGCAAATGAACTCTTCATATATTTTTGCTGACGTGTGTGTGTGTGTGTGTGTGTGTGTGTGCGCGTGTAGTTTTGTTGAATAGCTTGATTAATACAAATCATTTTTATTTATTGCCCATTTTCCCAGAAGAGAAAAAAATTATATAATTATATTATATAATTATATAAATAATAATACATTAAATATTATAATTATATTTATTAATAATTAATTTGTCAAATGTTTAATACAGCAGCAACAGATGGACTAAGCTAACAAGCATGGATTAAAAGCCACCATATGTGGTCTTTAAAGTCACAATAAAACAGCACATCACCAGACAAGTGTGATGTTTTCACCAGAAGATCCAGTTATGACAATGTGATTAAACATTACAAGGTCAAAAAAATGAATGAATAAATTAAAACACATGCATGACTAGATGAGATGAATTTTCATTTCATACCTTTAAATGCTTCCGTTCTTTTTGTGTTTCCTTCCTAGGTTTTGTAGAGCTGGAACACATGTTGATAACATGCCAAATGTATTTGAAAACACAACAGATCAAGATCATCGGGGCTGGGGATACAATAGAGCTGAAGCGGGACATGAGGAGGACGTACCTGCGTGATATACCACCACCAGGCTCAATGGACCTTTTTGGACTTCGGTGTTTAACTCAGGGGAGCCGCGGTGTTACTGGACCATACCGTACTCCCTTCTCCGAACCCCCGAGACCTTATTTTGCAGGACCACAGTACTGAAGACCAACACAATATATATATATATATATATATATATATTTAAAAAAAGAAAAAGAAAAACAATGTAAGCCCTTTAAAAGGCTCCGAATCTATGAATAAGTAGTATGGAAAAAACACTTTTTAAAACTAAGATAGACTTTTAGATGGGAATCATGTAATATTGAACACGTCTTTGGGAAAACTTTTTAAAGAACTGTTTTAGAAACCAACAAAACGGATTAAAAAAAGAACAAAAACTTGAAAGACAGAACTTTTTGGAAGGATGTGACAATTCAGGACAAGAACTTGCTTCGACTTGGGATGGCCAACTTTTTTCTTGGAGTGCCTGTCCGTTTCCAGGGGCAACGGCTGCCACAAACCGCAGCCTCCGTCCGCTGGGAGACTTACCTGTCATTCCTTAGCTGTGTAGGGACCAAATGACCAAACCTTTTTATCACAAATGAAACAGAAGAAGAAAAAAAAAAGACTCATACCTGTAACATAATTGGACCACTGCATCTCTTGCTGTGCCAATCGGTTTAAGAGTTGTATTTAAAAAAAAAAAAGAAGATGATATATGTATAAAAAGACCATATATGACTATATGCATAAATGCATATATATATAGATTGCTGATATGCTTTTGAATACTGGCAGAACTATTTCCGATGGCCGCTCACTTCGCTAGTTTACAATTACTGCTCAAAATGAAAAATATTTATTTTTATTTCTCTTCTAGTTTTTCTCTGTGGTGAGAGAAAGGGTGCATGGGAAGGGTTGTTCCATAATGCAGCCTTACCTTTTCTATCTTATGTCCTGACCTTGTAGTTAAGAGACCATCTTAAAGAGGTTTGAGATAAACAGTCCTGTTTATATATACCGTACATACAATATGTATATGTATAGCAGACGTTCAAGCAGTATGTATTCATATTTATGCACATGTACAGCATATATATGGATACATACGATATTAATCCCAAAACCCATATATGTATTTATATGCATATATTTTATATGTGTGTGTATATATAGAAACCGACTATTCAATATGTAGAGCTGTAAGGTTTTTTTTTTTTTGTAGATTTAAGCTGGAGTTTGAAACCACTGCTCTGCTTTGGGCTTTTACCACTGGGAAGAATCTCAAATCGGCAGCTGCAATCTGCAGGCATTCCTCTCGATCCGATATAACGTTCCTTATCCGCCAACACAGAGAGACACACACACACACACACACACACACGCGAGGGTAGGAAAACTGATTCTGTTTGTGTATATATGTGTACATGCTACTTACAAATGCAAAAAGGCCTCCTCTCGTAAGAGAGTTTAAAGAGAATCAGGATCATTACGAACCAGTACAGAATGCGGACATATCTGCCTCCCGCCTTTGCAAACATTCGCAAACAAACGACGTCTTCATTCGAACCGAGCGCTGGCGTTAAAAACGAACGCCTGGCGGTTTTTCTAACTTCGATCGCCTTGTTCGCGCATGCGCCGTCGAATCGTCAGCAGTGCGTCCGTGCACCTGGCAGCACTGTGCTACGACACCGCTAGCAGCCATTCATTATTATGATGTCAAAACAACAGAAACACTCTTCTTCTTTACAAAATCTAAAAGACAAAAAATAAAACTACTATAGCTCCAGCAAACAGCGAAGCCTTCAAATATCTGTTGACATGACAAACCTGTGCAGCTTGACACCGCCATTTACCGATTTACACCCACTCGACGTTCTGCTTACGATTACAATGAAGTGGGCATTATGTAGGTTTTGCACAAGTATCGTCAGAATCCGCATCACATCGCGTGTTTGCATGTGCTGCTTCAGCGTTCAGACGGATTCGAGAGGAGTTTTCCCGCGCGCGGGTGTTGAGGATGGAACGCGAGTTTTTGAATTTCTTATTGCAAATTAAGGACTTTAACGATTTTTGGTTATGTTTTGCAACTGACCTATTATACAAGATGGCACTATTGTAAATATATGATAATTCCAGAGCTGGTTAATCAGCTTTACCGAGGAGTAAAACGTCTGTACAGTAGTGGGGGGGGGGGCAGTAGTTGGTTCACCTCATTTCGAAGGGGAATCCAGTTCTGAATCGACGCGTCTTCAGACGGGTTCCGAGAATGTTGTATTTTGCCCATGATCATTCAGGTATTCCAGGATCTTTTGCAAGGATATGCATTCCGTCTGTTGGATTTCAGTGTCACCTGTCTTTCTCTCTCTTTCGGTCTTTCTCAGCATCTGTCTCTCGCGCTCATCATCTTCCTTCTTGTTTCAGCTGCAACTGTTTACATAGCAATCTGGAAATGTAGAGTTGACAAAACCGACAAGACAGAACAGAAATTTTATTATAAATATATATAAGTATATACAAGAACTACTGAATATACTGTAAATGGGTTTTTTCTTCTTCTCTTTTTTGCTCTGTTCCTCTGTATATACAGGTTTGCATATTTTATAGTCTTTTACTTCTATCTAGAAGGACTGGATGACCAAGAAGACAAAATGACACTGAACAAAAATGAAAACTGAATTAAAACAGGTAAACTCTAGTCCTTTGAGATGCAGTATGGTTGTAAGGTATTTAATTATGGAACATAAGAGCCAATCAGATTTGATCCGAACATTAATGTCACTTTCAGAACTGCTGCCAACATGCTTATTTATTTGCCGATTTATGTATTCATTCGTCTTTTTTTTTTTTCAAATGTCATTTGTTAAATTATTTTTTTCCATTTTAAAATACTAATATATGTACTTTTATCATTTCAACGGTTGTAATTTTTATGTTTGTAATGCACCGAATATCATTTCGTCATTTAAACTGCTTTTTTTTTTAAATATATTTTTACATGTTTTTGTATTGTGAGACACAATGGAACAATGCAACTGGCAGAATCAGGGTAATCCTTTATGGAGAATGTAGAACTCTTGAAGGACTGGTGTCAAAAGTTTTTGCTGCACCTCTTAGAACTGTCTGCAGTTTTCTTCTGTTCTGCGATTCCATGCATCTGTCAGAACTCCGATTTGCTTCACTGCTTTTTCAAACACGTTGGAAAAAAAGGAAGAAAAACTGCACTAATCCATCAGACTCTCAGCAACTCTGGTTTTATAGCAGTTCTTCATTAGCACTAACTGTCTTCAACTCGTCAGAACTTACAGAAACAATGCAGTAAAATGGGGTTTAAAAAAAAGAAAAATACCAAAAAAAAAGATTTTCAGACATTTTGAGCACAGTTGAGCGTGCTGGGTGGTATCTGTGGATTTTTGCCAAGCCTATCACAAAGAGATTGAGCTGTATTAGCAGTCGGAGTGCTGCCGGAGCTCCTGCCCTGTTCTCAACTCCACGTTTCTCTGGTCCCTAGACTCTCTTTTGTAATTTTACTGAATGACGAGTTTCCGCTTAAGCCCAGTAATAAAGCACAGTGTAGAATAAAGCAGCATTATGCTTGTCCCATTTCCTGCTGTATGTCTATACAAGCCTTTTTATGCGTTGTTTTTATCTCTTTCTCTCTTTTTATGGATTTGTGGCACGACTGATGTACTCTGAAACCACTTCAAAGGCGGAGGGTTTACATGCACACACACGGGTGCCTCTCTGAAACTTTCTTTACAACACTTCAGATCAAATTAGACCAATAGCCCTGGAGCGATGTTTGGCTGAAACCCATTGCATATACTGATGCTCCCAGATCGAGTTTGAAGTATCAAAGCATATATGCGGTGTATATTGGGAAGAGCAGGGGAATAGGAAAGTGAGGGGACACATTAAAAATCATGCTACACCCCCTGTGGAAAAACAAATTTGTTAATATATGCAGAAAATTCAATGACTCATGAATATTGTGGAAAACAGTGCTGACTAGAAATGCATCTTACTGACTAGTCACTGTTATGAGAATTTCTCATTTCATCAGCTGACAGTGGGATTATGCCTTACAGATCACAGCAACTGTTCTTCAGGAGCTCTTTAAACATATATGTTGCCAAGTTAGTTCCTTGGAAAGCCTGTGTACTTTAATGGTGCTGCTGCCCAACCATCTGTGACTGAATAAACAACACCATTTATTAATAAACACATTTTATTAAGGCAAAAATAAACCTTGAATACGTCAATAGCACAAAAAAAGTTAAAAATTAAGACCATAATTATTTCAAGACACTAAAGAGATTTAAAAGGCAGAATTAAGAGCACATGAATAATTAATGATCATTCAAATTCAGTTATTCCTACAATCAATCTGAGTCGCCATGATAACCCTTCAACAGATGAAAAAGATGTCTTCTAAGATCTCGCTCTCCTCCAGGTCTTGCAGAGAGGAACGATTGGGGCCACAAGGAGAGAGAAGAGTCTTCTGAAAGGACTGAGGGGCGACGAAACTCCTCCGGGATGAGGGGTTGATTCGGTACCTTTCTGTATTGGATACGGGGCTGATAATGTCCAACAGCTCAATCAAAGAGTCGTCCAACCTAACAATGAAAAAAAAAAAAACATCACTCAGTGAAAATGTCATAGAATTGTTTTATAAACTAAAATGGAAGTGGACAAATGTGATATAAATAAAAGCATGAAAATGTACATCATCACTCAGTGAAAATGTCATAGAATTGTTTTATAAACTAAAACGGAAGTGGACAAATGTGATATAAATAAAAGCATGAAAATGTACATAGCACTCGGAATGCTGTACATCCTCAGATTCCCCTACATAAAAACAACATTGTTGCATCTGAATAGACGACAGAGTTCACAGGCTTTGAAACATGTGGCCTTAGGGTGCATATGAAGAACAAGTCAGCTCGTTTTTTTCCTAGTTTGGAAGGAAAACTGAGAGCCGAGTGAGGAGATAAATAAATAAAAGAATAAATAAACAAAGATTAAGCTAATAAAGATTCAACCCCTCAGTCGAGGTGCTTAATAAATTATTCATCGAGTACAGACGCGCACATTTCAGATATAAAACATGAATTCTTAAAGCACGCTCCACTGATGCTGCTAACATAATTCACTGCTCATTCTAAACAGCATTGATTTGCATCCATGCAGCAGAGGGGATGAGTGGGTATTCATACAGATGTGTGTGTGTGTGTGTGTGTGTGTGTCTGAGGGATCTCGGCTCCTATAAGAGGCAGAAAACTGTGTCATCCACTGAGTGCCTCTGACATATGAAAGCAGTATTTGCTTCACAACCATGACAGCTGTGATTATCCAGGACGCTGAGATACATGCCATCCACTATTTCCTTGGTGTCTCACACGTTTTTGGTCTGAAATCATGAAAGTATTTGGCTATACCTGAAAATATTTCCACAGAAAGGTAAATAGAAATTAAAGGTTGTCTGAACTTCAAACTTCCATCCTTCTCAGGAAACACATTAGCTCTGTTCTAAAGCTCTGCCTTCTAGACAAACATCCTTTCTAAGATGGAAGCTCAAAAGTGAATTATTTGGAACAATTAATATAGACAACAACTCCTCACGTACTGTAAGACGCGATTCACAATTTATTCCAGTAGAGTATAACGGTAGCATGTTGCTTATCTAAACGTGAAGGATAAAATGGTTATTTTAAGATTGACCTATTTATATGTCAGTATTTAATTAAATCTATGCATATAAATCTCATCTTCTCCATTTTGGATTTATTTTTTTCACTAAGCTTGGCGCAATGCTTTTTGGTACTGCCTTAACCAGAAAATATCTTGAATTTTGTTAAGTAATATTAAGATATTAATGCTGCCTACCTTTTAGGCTTATGTTGAGAGGAGTCTCTATGGTGCTTTAAAATTATGTTTGGGTATTGGCAGCACACTAGATTTTGACTAACTGTGACTATATCAACATCAAGCAATATCGTTGATGAAAAAAGATGAGCCGAAACTAGATGAGGCAAAATAAACTAATCGTATGAGCAGACTTTCTCTTCATTTGTGCTTATAGATAAAAGTGCAATAATTCATGACAATTTCTCATGACAATAATCATGAACTGTAATTGTGATTAAACATTTGAGCAAAATAATTGGGATTAACACTTTAAGCATTATGCAGCAAGAATAAAATACAAGTATTCTAGACAAAAATTTTCTGAAATTCACAAAAAAAAAAATCAGGATAGGTTGACTAAAAAACTAAAAGGACATTTAAAACAGGACCAAGACTCAAAACAACAACACTAACGTGCATGAAAAGGGACAATTTTCAACAAATATTTCAATTTGAGTTTGTTTTTCACAAAAGTTATCATATGACTACAGAAGAATATAGTGAATATAGCAACTATGTATGGACTACTTTTAAGGTGCAGTTATATTCGGTGAAATTTTGCCTGCAAAAAGTGTCAATTTTCAAATTAGTGATGAAACGATAAAGACACAAGTCACATACCAAAAGCTTTTTTGTTTGATCAACGCTGCAAATCCATGTAACCAAGCTGAACCCACAGTGAAATCTGTGTAGAGAAAACTTTCACCCTCACGCAAAATTACTATTGAAATAACTGGAATTTGCCAACGAAAATTTGTCGAACAACAATAAATGTGGAAAATTTTGTCATTTTTGAGGCTTGCCAACCCAAACCATTTTCATTGCGAGAAATAATGCAGCCAAAACATTCTTCCTACAGATTTGAAACAAATAATGACAGGCTCTTCACATTTATGTGAACTATCTCTTAAAATCGAAAATTATGCCTACACCTCCCATCCTTCAACTGTCTATTTCAGTTGACCAGGTGAGGACTGAGCGAACTGGAGAATCTCTGCACAGGTAAAGATTAGTTTTGAGGCAGACGGATTGATCCCCAGAGTGTTGAACACATGTTCACACAGCCAGCGCGGTGGGGTTCCTGAGCACCTGTTCTCCCTCACACTGTTACTGATGAAGGTGCCCTAGCTCTGGAAGACATCCTGCATTGTTCCGCTGCCAAAGATTGGAAACCCCCGGTTCCCTGAGGACTGCAGACCAGTTGATCTCACTTCACACATTGAGAAGACCTCTGAGAAGCTGGTCCTTAGACAGACCACCTGGACCCAGGACAGTTTGTTAACCGCTGTTACGGTTCTGACCCTGAACTCTGGAGGCCGCAACCATTCACCATTAACAAACCTACATATGCTGTACTATACTGGCTGTTCTGCACACTGCCATCAGACAAACACAAGAGCTCTGGTCCAAACCCTAGAGAGCTGCCATGCTGTCTACGGCCTATATGAAGGGTTCTTCACAAGGGACAGATTTGGAACAACCTACAAAGGCAGCAACTCCATATCAAGTGCAATTTTGAGAAATTTAGTACTTCAACTTATTTCAGTTAGTTGCCAAGGAAGCACTTCTAATTTTCCTTCTCTTCATCATGATATTTTATGATACAGCCCTAGTGAGAAGTAAGTACATTGCACCTTTCCAATTCATGAGCCCAACTGCATTTCAGCGATTACATAAAACAGTTAATGCAGACTTCCACTCTTATGTTGTTTTTGCACCGTTAACTTGTCAACCTATATTCCAGTAATACATACATAATCAGGAACGTCTCATTTCACTCCTGCAATTTTACACTGAATGTTTCTGAGTACTCACTTTTGATGTGGCTGTTATTTTGTATAAATGGAGTTTTCTTAATGAAATTACTTTGCAATAAATATTATGTTACAAGAATTATGTTCTTAACTAACAGACACAAACAACATTTGCATTTTATCTGTCAGGTATGTTTCATTTGCTAGCGATTACAGAGCCAGTTACAAGACTGTTTGAGAAAGAGACTTGCTCGCTGAATGTCAGTATGCAACTTCATATATTCACTCATGATAAAAAACAAATTACAAATATTTCATGACATCATAATAGATCAAGCTGCTTAATGTTCTTTTGCTTTTAAGCCTGAAACTTGAATCTAGGTTTCATTTACATCCAGTCCTATAACAATGATAGTAATGTCCAATCCGGGAATCTCATTTTGTCATTTTGGCGAATGACAATCGATTGCCATCCGACAATTCTTTTGCACATTTGCATCAGAGGGAAAGAGAAGGAGAGCTTACACTGAGGGTGGATGGCTGATGGGGTGGGACTTTGGCAAGGCACCCTCTTGAAATGTGAGAATTAGCATTTTTATTTGTTGATTTATTTAACGGACAGGCCTCTCAAACAGCCATCCATCAACGGACGACATTGCCGATATGAATAATGCATTTCTTACCGCCGGTCACAATCTATAACAAGGGAAGGGGTAGGTGTAGTTTGGGCGGGGGAGGGAGGGGGATGTTAGGGCGTTGGTAGGAGGAAATTGCCGGCGAGAATGCTAATGTGTTTGGCAGTCATATTTACCCAAATGCTTTCATTGCTTTTCACAAGGTCCACTGGTGAATGACCATGAGACATTAATATCACTTAAGAGGAGGTTTGCTAATCCCAAACGCTATCTGTTCACTCAACGGATCAGTAGGGGTTAGGAACAGAGTTCAAGATGCCTGAAATAGAAAAGCAGATGTGAGCGGAACGATGGCAGTATTTAAGTAACCAGATTACTGAAGAGAAAAATACAATGAAATAGTTAAATTAAATAGTGAATTCCTGAATTATTGAAAAGAGAAAATATATAAATAACTAATCAAATATTATTATTATTTTAAAAATGAATATATACTGTGTGTGTATGTGTGTGTGTGTGTATATATACAGTGGTGTGAAAAAGTGTTGGCCCCCTTCCTGATTTCTTATTTTTTTGCATGTTTGTCACACTTTAATGTTTCAGATCATCAAACAAATGTAAATATTAGTCAAAGATAACAAGTGAACACAACATGCAGTTTTTAAATGAAGGTTTTTATTATTAAGGGAAAACAAAATCCAAAACTACATGGCCCTGTGTGAAGAAGTGTTTGCCCCCCTGTTAAAACTGTGGTTTATCACACCTGAGTTCAATTTCTCTAGCCACACCCAGGCCTGATTACTGCCACACCTGTTCGCAACGAAGAAATCTCTTAAATAGGACCTGCCTGACAAAGTGAAGTAGACCAAAAGATCCTCAAAAGCTAGACATCATGCCGATATATATATATATATATATATATATATATGCATATATGCAATACTTTTTTGGAAATCATACAAAAGTATAAAGAATATACTAGAATCTCTACAGGTTAACTCATTTTGCAAACATGGGCATAAAAAAACTCCTACTCGCATCAATGAGAGCGAGGAGGAGTAAAATACAGAGAGAGGGTGAAAGACAGAGAAAGAATCAGGTTCTACTTCAATAATTCCAAACAAAAGACAGTTTATCAGTTTCCAGACTCCAGTTATTTTACTGTTCTCATTAAAAATGTCTGTCACGCCTGAGAGCCCAAACAAATTTGTAGCCCAAACAGTAATATAAAAAATCTTAAAACGGCAAATACAGACAAAACTGCATGTCAATTTTCTTCCAAATCAATAGTAAGCTGAGGAGAGGCACAGGCCATGAACAGGAGCACTGACATTTCTCACTTCGGCTCTATCAAACCAGCCCTGAAAATTTTAATAAGATACACAATTAAAACATTTTTTTAAAGATTAGAAGAGAAGTTAGTTAGATTAGTTCAGAAAGTTCACAAAAGATGGCCCAAGTCTGCACAGGTTAATTTAAAAAGGTGGAAGTTATTTGAAAGAAGGACGTGGTTTGATAAGTGTATTGTTTTGATGACTCTTACGGAGGTTGTGGAGTTTTATCAGTCTGACTGCATAATTCATCTCCTTCTCGTTCTGTGACACTTACAGTCCACTCTCCTGAGCGAGATCAACTCACACAAGATTTTTATATTTCTAAAGGGAAATGTGAGGAGCTTGCCATGCAAAACACAACATCACGACGATGGGGCTTTTTATATAATTATATATAAATATTAAATAAACATAAATCTTTTAAAAATATTATTAAAAATAAATATTGTTGTTTTTGGCATATTGTTACATAGTTGCTAAAGCATTGCTGTCTGGTTTCTATGGTGTTTATGGAGGATGCTGAACAGTGTCAAAAGAGCCCACCACAGTCTTTCTGAACTCTTTATTAATGTACGTGTACAAGATTTTACGCAAGTTTTATCACCCACCATATGAAAACCTTAAAGATCAAAAGTCTGGTTGCTAAGAAAATAATAACACGCACCTCTCCTCAATCATTCAACTCCACAAATGATGCGGGATTACAAACATGTCGAAGTTTAAAATTCTAAATCCTTACCACCAACTATTTATTAAAGACAGAAATAGTGACACTTGCTTTAACAAGAGTTAAAAAAGCCAGAATTTGAAAGACAAGACCAATTTAAGTGTGTTACCATGCAAGAATCAGCATTTGAGTTTACACAACCCAAGGATACTGCCAATCAAAGAAAACTACCTATTTCAGATTGAGTGAAATGGTATGATCTATAGCAGACAGGATATATCCATAATCATTTTCATTAACCTGAGCTTTTTTTTCCCAGGGCATTTTTTTTCCTTTAAGCAAACTTGTAGTAATAAAGTGCTTGTCTATTGATTCATTGTGGGCTGACAGCTATAGGTTGTTCTTCAAGAGTGTGTCCATACAGCATCAGACCCATTAGACCCTGGACCAGACCTGAGGTTGTTCAGAAGACTGCTGGCATCCAACCTCTGGCTTCTTAAATAAATAAATAAACTATAAAATGACACACTTCATTGATTTCCTCAAATCAGGTTTGGTTTTGAATAATGCAAAGGTACCTTCCAGACGGTGGGCAACAATAAAATATTTATCTTCCATACATAGACTTTCCACAGTGCTGGTTGGCATAAACGTGGTAATCTCAGAGTTCATGTTTGGTATTAGTGGGGCAAAGGAAGGTTTTCCATGATGCTTTACCAACCAAGCCAAATATGTCCTGTTAAATCAAAATATGAATTGCATGTCATATGTACAGATATTTGTGCTGTCAATGTAAAGTTCCATTTTCATCAATTATCTTAATTAACTTTTATATTTATTATTTTCCTACCATCGGAGCAATTTAAGCTAGTTTAGAGATTCTAAATATTGATGTGCGATTTCTTAACCACGGCAAATCATTAATTCATTCAATTAAAATCTTCTAATCGAATCAATTCACAATCCTAAGAGAAATGTGTAAGTAAAAAAACTATTCCATTGGCTATTTTATCACATATCTTTGACGTTAAAGCTGCTTGATGTCACAAATAAAGGTGAATCTGGAATGGCTACTTGAAATTCAACAGTTTGACTGTTCATTAAGAGAAACATCTCTGCCCTGGTCTTTAGTTCACATTTGGCCCTTCTCAACTTCCCCATATTATGCATACGCGAGTATTCAATTCCCTGTCAGTTCTGACATTCTCTTGGTATGCCTCCCAAAAATATCATAGCTGCACACAAAGCAGCCTAATTTTCCCAGCCCCTGTAAAAGTTCTGGCTCGGTAATGAAACGTCTGAGACAGAAAAGAACATATTAATGCAAAATATTCACCACAACATATAACAGGGAGAAAAAAGGCAATTACTTCTGAAGTCAGTATATTTTCTCCTAGAAAAAAAGAGAAGAAATATGCCTTACAAACGACTTACAAATAATCTGCATTTTTCAGAGATGGCATGCTAAATGAGACATGCTCATGCTGTGGGGGTTGGGGGAGGAAAAAAAAGACATGCTGTCACATTAATTACCTTTCTACGTTAAAAGAAAACGGTAATGAATTTCCTTCTCTATCCCAGAGTGTGTCTCGCGCTAGCGGTCAGTGATTCATTCTGTGCCTCACTCTTTCTCATTAAGCTGAGGGAGGCGCCGCGTTCTCGGCCCAGGCTGGAAGACTCGGTTCAATTACACCTGCTGCTGGGCCCTGCTACGCCAGCTAATGGGACTCAGCTTGGCTCCTGTCAGCCTCAGCGCTGGCCGGCAAAAATCTTCATTTAACTCATCAAACAGGCTTCGCACTGCGTTCGGCCCAGACCAGCTTCCTCTTTTTTTCCTCTTTCTTCGCTTCTTCTCCCTTTTTCCCTGTTTTATTCTGATTCCCCCATACATCGCTGCTCCCACCCCTTCTCCTTTTTCGCATGCATGCATGCATTAAGAAGCTCTATCACAGAGACAGGGAGCCCAAGAACACAATTAATACATAGGCTTGGCCCCCGCTGTGCTGTTGAGCCAAAATTGCTGTCATTTCCCTCTTTTCACTCCTTCCTGAATTGAACTTGTTAAATTGTATTTACTGGTATGGGTCTTTTCACTGAGTTTCCTGAGAGTGGCTTCTCTCAAGCACCATACCCCACCCATCTTTAAATTGCAACAGCAGCCTCTCTACAGAAAGTGGTAGTTGAGTGACCGAACTGTCAAGTGGCAAAATTACATGTTTTGCTCAACTAAAAATATAGAAAGGGTGTGTAAAAACACATTGGTTGTGTTAGACGGCTGGGCGGGAACTAGATGTGTGTATGAAGAAGCCCATCCATAGCAAGGGGAAAACACGAGTGGACCAAAGACAGAACCCTGAGGGACACCTTAACTCACCTGGAAGCCTTTGGAGTGCTAGGAGGTCCAAAAGGAGAAATTTGGGGAAGAGCAGATGTCTGGAAGCTTTGTGGAACCACAGGAGAGGTGGCCATATCCTTCTTGGTAATGGAGATATCTGCAGGGAGAAAATTAGAGATGCTTGAAAGGAAATTTCCAATTAAAGATGTGAAGTAAAAAGGTATAACAGCAGAAAGGTATAACATATTCTGCATAATTTCTTGTGCATGTACCTTGTGAAATCTTGGGTGCAGACTGTTCAATACTTGATGTGTGTTGCTGTGACTGTACGTTACTTAACGAAGGTTGAACATTTCCCTGCAAAGTGTGTGACTCTCCTTTTATTTCACTTCTGAATAACAGAGAGATAGAGAGAGGGAGAGAGAGCAAAGATATTGGTCTACACTACTGTTTAAAAGTTTGGTGTTGCTCACCAAGGCTATATTTAATTAATACAGTAAAATTCTGAAATATTAAATCACAATTTAAAGTAACTTTTCTATTTTTATATAATTTAAAATATAATTTATTCCTGTAATGGAAAAGCTGAATTTTCAGCAGCTATTACTCCAGTCTGCATGATCCTTGAGAAATAATTTTAATATGCTGATTTTGGTGCTCAATAAACATTTCATGATGCTGAAAACAGTTAATTCTCAATTAATTTCCTTAATTTTTTATGAACATTTTTCAGGATACGTTCATGAACAGCAAGTTCAATTGAACATATTCTGTAACATTATAAATGGATTTACTGTCAGTTTTGATCAAGTTAATGCACCCTTGCTGCATAAAAGTATTAATTAAAGCTGCAGTCCATTAAGTTTTGCCTCTTTGTCGCCATCTCTGTTTGAAAACCTGCAATTGCAGCTGTTTGCAGAATTATCTTCCTTGCGTGGGTTGTGCACCGGCACGGCTCCAGCACGAATTAATCTAATGTGTGGCTGTCAGTCACCGCACCGGTGTGGATACTGCACTTTGTATTCACAGATTCTACATCTTGAAAGTATGACCCAAATAAGAGATTTCACTGGAGAATGTCATCTGAAAGAGTAAGTAACAACAGCCACTTTTGTTCTGATCAACTGAGGAAAAAAGCATTACAATAAATTGTGCTATCAATGGTGATTAAATCTAATGATCGGTTAGCTCATATCACATCAAACCGTGACAAATTATTATTATTGTTATACTTTGTTTTCAAATTGTTGACGCTTAATAACATTAGCATTGCGTGAGTGCGTGTATTTAGTGTGTATTAGCTTTACCTGTAGATTTCAATTTCTGTACAGTCTAATCTCTAATTGTCATACAATTCGAATTTCATATAAAGAAATTGTTCTTGTAACCCAAAAAACTAATTAAAGTACCTTACAACTCGTTCTCTTTTAAATAAATCTTTTATCATAATGAACATAGCAAGACGAGGAAAAAAGCATAACATAAGAAACTCCATAACTGTATTGATTAAGTGAACAAGTGCTACAGTTACCTAATTACACAATGAACCATTGAAATGTCTTACCTGTCCAGCAGAATAAAAGCCGTCTGCGTCCGTTTTAAACTCCTTCAAAACACAGAGTTCACACCACCTTTCAAAAGCACTGCCGATATTTATTCTTGTTTTAGCAATGGCCCGGTCGCATTCTCTTTTTTTCTGTAGCCACTTCTCAGTACTAATTCTTTTGGTTTTGACTACGGGTGAATCTCCAGTCACTGATGACTGTCGTTTCGACCTTTCTGGATTACAATTCGCCATTTATTCCAGCTGCTGTGAGAAAAGGCTATAAACGATCCGTCATCTGCAGCATCCTCAAGTGCAATATAGCAGACTAGCCGGGACAAATTCTTTATGTTTACAGACGTGATGTAATGACGCAGCGCCATGTTCGAATTTCCCGCGAAAACCTACCTGTACCACTCAAATTAGAAAACTTTATTACAAGCTTACCGTTGTGAATCGAGGTAAAGGCGATAGGTTTGAACACTGGCTGGTCCATGTACTTGCTCAAAAATTTATTTTGGATCATTTTTAACCAAAAAAAGTTACAGACTGCAGCTTTAAAAAACAAATCATACAGAACCTAAATTTGAATCATAGAGTATACTTGAATATTACTTTTATTTATTTATTTATTCATCTCTCCAGCCCTTTTCTGCATTCAATGCAATTTTGAAAACAAGCTTCACCTGTGTGTCAACTGATCCATTACAAAACTGGATTGTTGACCCTCATTAAAACTGCTGTCTCCATTTAGAGGTCTCTCAAAATCTGTTGTGGTTGCTTGCTGAAGCCTTCAAGAGACAAATTAAAACAATGTTCATGGTTCAATTCAAATTAGGCTGCATAATGTTGATTACTATCAAAAACAGTTGAACTTATCCCTCATGGTTACAGTACACTAAATTGAAATACTTTATAGGTGCATGAACTTTTCTCTATTTTAAATCAAACAATGCATTAAAAAATGCTAATAATATTTAAACTTATGGTTTGTGCCAGACTCTTACTTGCTGTACTGAAGGTATGACTGGCGGAGTTGCTTGTTCTGGAGCAAAAGTTTCTCTTCCTGTTGAGCCAACCGAGCTTGAATTCTCTCCCTCTCCATCTCCAGCTGTTTCTTCTGCAGGAGCAGACATCGTCGTTTCTCTTCCCAGTTCTCCCGAACAGACAGTGGTGCTATTCCAGTTCGATTAGCACCACACATGCCATCATTTTCCATTCTGTGGCACTGATGAGAGCACTTGGGTTCAGAGGCGCCATGCAGCCTCAGGGCATTACAGGCTGAGGGTTCACTGTTGGAGAAGCTGAGATCACTACGTCCACCTTCAGAATTGTGTTTGGTGTGCCTGTCATGGATTTCACAGTTCTGGTCACTGCTGGAGGGTGCACTGAACAGTCCCGTTGAGAATGAATGAGTGCACTCCACTGACCCGCCTCTATCAGTTTTGCTTCCTGATGAAGGGAGGTCCAAGTAAGATCCATCTAAAGCAGTTCCTCTTCCACCCCAAGACCTCCTGGCCACCCCCTCGCTGCTAGGAATCTGTGGGACAGGGCATAGGTACAAAAAGTATACACGTCACCTCTGACCATTTAATAATGTGGCCACAAAGGCAGGTTTTACTCAAGGGAGTCAGAAAGTGTGGGCTCATCCCAAGAGAACGCAACAACCCAAGGTCAATCACCAAAGAGATAAACATTCAGGACAAAGGAGAATCTTCCACCTCTCAGGGGACAGAAATGGGCCGCTGACTAATTCAAGAGGAGGTTGCGGAGCATGTACACATACATTACTCACAGCCAAGGTTTCGGAGAGGACAAGCTCATTTTCCTTATACAAGCTTAAGATGGAGGGTGCACACTGGTTGTCATGAAAGATTTGCATGACAGATTTGTGTGTAGTTATGAGTCTGCAGGTTGATTGGCTGATTAATAAACAAAAAATAAATAAGTAAATAACAAAAAGCATAAACTTTGAATAGGGTATTAAACTAAGAGTAGTTTTTATATTGCTAGACAATTGGTGGTTTCCCCTAGATTTGGAGTGCTTTTTATTCAGATTCAGGCCAGGCACTTTTTTGAATGCAATTCACTTATCATTTCTTAATAAATTTCTTTATGTATTTTTCTTCAGGAAAATTGAGAATTGGTATTAACAGTTCAGTTGCAAAAATGGTTCCAGTATATGTGTAAAGATATATATTTAAAAAAATGTTCTTCCAGAGAAATGAATTCAGCCGATGTCCAATACATTACTCACAGCCAAGGTTTCGGAGAGGACAAGCTCATTTTCCTTATACAAGCTTAAGATGGAGGGTGCACAGGGTGCACGGTCTAAACTAAAACAACATGTGAGTTTTTTAGTGTCAGTGAGTTTTCTTGTTTTGTTTTAGCTTTAATATTTTTAGCGACAGTGCTTTGAAGGGGATGAATTTGGAGATGGAACCTCTCTGAGAGGGGTTTAGTGTACTGACAGGTTAACAGTTATAGATGCTAAAGTGTCAGCATGCCAAAACCCCTCTCTGAGAGGCTGCTTCTCTAAATCCATCCCCTTTAAAAGCACCACCGCTAGAGCCATCAAAACAGCGCTTTTGTAACAAATTCACCTTCAACACATTTTAAGGCAATTACTGTTGGACTTCAAATCGCCTGCTGTGAGCAACGAACCATTATTATGAATAATCCAGAGATCTATGATAGTTTGAGCAATAAAAGGAGCTGGATATTTAGGCTTTTTATTTGTTGAATATCTGATCGTTACCCTGTTCAGACAGGATAGGTCACTGATTCACTGGTTGTCATGAAAGATTTGCATGACAGATTTGTGTGTAGTTATGAGTCTGCAGGTTGATTGGCTGATTAATAAACAAAAAATAAATAAGTAAATAACAAAAAGCATAAACTTTGAATAGGGTATTAAACTAAGAGTAGTTTTTATATTGCTAGACAATTGGTGGTTTCCCCTAGATTTGGAGTGCTTTTTATTCAGATTCAGGCCAGGCACTTTTTTGAATGCAATTCACTTATCATTTCTTAATAAATTTCTTTATGTATTTTTCTTCAGGAAAATTGAGAATTGGTATGAACAGTTCAGTTGCAAAAATGGTTCCAGTATATATGTAAAGATATATATTTAAAAAAATGTTCTTCCAGAGAAATGAATTCAGCCGATGTCCAAACAGCTTCAGATAGACAAAATTAAACTGCAGCATTCATTTTTCTTTTTCAAATATTCTCTTTCAATTCGAAATGTCATATTACAGATGTAAAATTAGTTATGAATGCCATTTAATGTTTCAGGCAACCTTGGTGGTCTCATCTCTCTATTTGACCATGTGAAAGACAGAGGGACAAATACAAAAAAAATAGGTACCTGTAGCTGGGAAAATGACATAAGCGTAATCTAATTTAGGGAATTACTGGTAAACTTGCAACAGCCTGCAGTGAGTTACCATTATACATGTTCAAGGTCAATACTATACATATCTACAGTTTATGTGTGTGTGTGTGTGTGTGTGTGTGTATATTTATAAATTAATTAAGTTATATATACAGAATACAGTTAATTTCACCAAATACTCAAATCTCAAAACAAACAAATATCACCTGTCACCGGATAAACTGGTTGGTCTGCCAGGATATTAAGTTAGTGGGGCAAACAAATTAATTTCTTCCTGTTATGGTTATACAAAGCCATGACTGATCAGCCAAAATTTTAACATAGCATAGAGGATACAAATTCAGTGCACGCACATGTTCAATCTGGGCCATTCCTGGCTTTCCTCTATCGCTCTCTCCCACACACAGGCACATTCTCTTTTAGTACTCACCTTGCTGTGGGAGCAGGACTGATTGAGCAGGGTAATAGACTTGTTGAGTTTCTCTTGCTGTTGGGAGAGGTATTGCTGATAGAGTCCCAGCAGTTCCTGACACTCTCCGTACTGCTGCTGCAGGCCTGTGCCGCAGGTCAAGTGTCAACACGCACTGAATAACTCTGCCACTTTTCCCACTTAGACTAAAACTCTCTCCCCTCCCAAGCCAGACATGGTAATCCATTTCCCCCACTGTACTGTTGCCAACCTAATGCTGAGTAGGCAGGAGCCTTTATACAGAAGGTACAAAATTAAAGAACCTGCCTCAGAGTAGTGTCCCAAGGGTAACCAGTAACAGTAAAAGCAAGCTTTATGTCGCGTTAAATACTCAAATATTTTTTTAAATGCCCAAAGCTGATGTTATCAAGCTAAGAGGCAAAACCAATAATATTTCAAGATGCTTTCTTGGACTATATCAGTGGTTGAAAGATTTATGTGGTCTGTGAGTTGACTGGAGGCTTAAAAAATAAATAAAATTTTAAAATAAAAAATCAAAAGAGTGGTCTGTGAGTCAGCTGAGTGATTAAAAAAACTGGGTGACTGAAAAAAAAAAAATTATATACACATATACATATATATATATATATATATAT